AAAAAAAAAAAAAAAAAAAAAAAAAAAAAAAAAAAAAAAAAAAAAAAAAAAAAAAAAAAAAAAAAAAAAAAAAAAAAAAAAAAAAAAAAAAAAAAAAATATATATATATATATATATATATATATATATATATATATATATATTATTATTATTATTATGATTTATTTTTAATTTAGTTTGATTTGATGGGATGAAAATGCAGAAATGTGATTATCCAAGGGCTTACTATCCTGGCTCCCGTCACTGTACCTAACACTGACGGAATCAATCCAGGTTCCCTTCTTCTTTGCCTTTAAAACCTTAGAGTTCTTTTCTTTGTCAATCCCTCTCCCTAATTCTCTATTCAATTTATCAGATTCTTGTTCCAACATTCGAATCGAAGATTGTTACATTGTCTCCGGTGACGATTGCATCGCCATCAAGAGCGGATGGGACCAATATGGTATCAAGTTCGGAATGCCGACTGAGTACCTTGTCATTCGCCGCCTCACTTGCATCTCACCAGATTCTGCAGGTATTGCCCTTGGTAGCGAAATGTCTGGCGGAATCCGCAACGTCAGGATCGAAAACGTCACTGCAATCAATACACAGTCTGCTGTCAGAATCAAAACTGCTCGCGGACGAGGTGGTTTCGTCAAGGACATTTTCGTCCGAAGAATGTTTCTATCCACGATGAAATACGTCTTCTGGATGACTGGAGACTACAAATCTCATGCAGATGACAAGTTTGATCCCTCAGCATTGCCGGTGATTAAGAACATTAATTACAGAGACGTGGTGGCTGAGAATGTTAATATGTCGGCAAATTTGGCAGGGATATCGGGAGATCCATTCACGGATATTTGTATGTCGAATGTGAAGATTGGATTGTCGAAGAAGCCTAAAAAGTTGCAGTGGAACTGTACAGATGTTGAGGGATTTAGTAGCGATGTGGATCCGCCGCCATGTGCTCCACTGGCTAAAGCAGCGAAAAGTGGTGGATGTGACTTTCCTGAGGATAAGCTGCCAATTGAGAATGTTCAGTTGAAGTCATGCTCAGTTGAAATTCCTGCCTTTTGATAGTTTTTTTTTTTAAAAAATTCTATGAATAAATGGTAATGAAAATTTAAAGAAGATATAGATAAATGTCTTTTCCTTATCATTTATAAAACAAAAAAATAAGAAGTTTTTAATTTAATAAGTTATTTCAACTAAATTGGTAACACTCAAATTCAAAATCATCAAATTAATAATCTAAAATTGAAAAATAAAATAAAAGGACTTTTTATTAAACATTAAATCTATGGTAATGTTTTATGAATACGTCTCAAATGATTATTTTTGCATAAAATAGTTACATTATGTGTATGATATCAATTTTAAGTTAGTACTTGAAAGTCTGTAAAACGTTGAAATTCCAACAAGTTTACAAAGAGTTCGAATGGAAGATATGATGTGATCAAGCCTGATTTGGTTTTCCTTCTTGGTTTGATGTGTTCTCAGCCCTTGAATGTCGAGACCTACACACTACCAACACTATTCCGGAAATGAACAAGTTCTAGAGATGTGCGAAAGTGTTAATATTTTGGTGTTGTAGTGTAGTTTTGATAAGTAGTGTGTTGAGTAAGACATCAATCATTTTTAAGCAATGAACGGGGCCTCGACATTTCTTTTGAATTCATGACCTTGCAAAATGTGAGCTCTCAAGCCGGTAAAAAGTTTTCCCATGGTATATGAGTGAGTGTAACAACCCTATATTTATACTAACCTAGTGTCGCTAACTTCATCATAACATACTCTCTTGTGTGGAAATAAACGTTTAAAACTTGCTTATATGTTCGAAAACATCTTTAAAAAACATAATGAAATATAAAATAAAAAAAATAAACATTAAAAGTAAACACCCTACACTAAATCAATTAATTGAGCAAATTAATATTTCACATGATGATCATGTGTGACTCGTTCTTAATCCTCGTTGAGTTATGAATTTCGACTCTAAAGGGTTGTCTTTTGATTTGCATGGGTGATAATTACTTTTGCAGTGAATTCAATATGCCTAACTATTTTGGGGATCTGGCCAAATATGGAATAGAAAGCATAATTTCAACAAATGGAGTTCACTTTTTTCGATACAAGGTAAGTAGTTGAATAGTTCCCTTAAGTGTTGATTTCGGAACTTGAAAAATGGAATCTCACCTTCTCAATGTCTCGAGAGGTGCATAGTTTGTAATTAGATCATAAATAAACTATTTATAAGAGAATCGATGGTCCGGCAGGCAAAAAATATAATTGCATGGGTAAAATAAACTTTAACCCAATTATAATTATGAACAACTCACAAGAATTAACTAGCTTGTGATGCTTATATTAACGAACACAACTTGTCATACACTACATAAAAGTGTAACTCTAGATCTATAATAGGGTATCCTATAGTTAATGAATGAAAATTAATTAATTTTTAATTAATCAACTTTTATATGATTATTAGAGCTAGGCATCCGCTTGCTAACTTATAAGACTTAATTTGGAGTGTTTAAATTAATATTTAGTTATAAGGCCCCTACTAGACTCAATTAAAACACATTGACATGATAGAGTTGAGGTTGTCGATACCATGTACCCTATAAGCATTAGTCATCATAGATAAGGCACATTCTTATGTCAATGAGGTAGATTCAGATTAGTCTCACTATGATTAAATCTTACTTAAAACTCAATCTCTTTCGAGTATATGGTATCGTGTATGGAAATAAAGTAGAGGCTTTTATAAAGATTTATGTTTCATAAACCAACTTTGAATGGATTAGGGACAACATGAATACACTATGAGATGACATACTCGAGGATCCCTCCCTCCCAGATTAGACATGATATTATGATTCGACTTTAGTCATCACCTATTCCTTAGTATATATGCATCCGGTCACAATTATAGAACCATAATATCCCTAGACCATAAATGGTATCATGTGCGAAAATGATTTTGTGCTTCAATGAGACCTTTGCTTTGTAAACTAGTCCTTGAGTGGACTAGAGACCATATGGATATGGATATGATGAGATGGGAGAATCGAGTGTATGGCATGATTTTATGGTCCTACTTTAGAATTGTCATCTATTATTTAGTATGTATCCACATGGATATTATCAAAATTATAACGTCCACAGGCCATCAGTGCCACTCAAACGAAGGTATGTATCACACAACACACGCGCATATATAATAGATACATATCTACATGCATAAATACATACATACATATACATATATACACATCACACATATACATATAATAGATACATATATGTACTTATACATTTTTATAATTTTCATCTTCTTTTATAATTTTAATCTTTTTTTTTTTTTGTTTTAAATGTGTAAAATGCTACCATATATTCCCTCTATATTCCTTTATTAAAAAATATATTTCCCAAATAATTGTAAAATGTCAAAGATTTCTATATTAGATAATAAATTTTATATTAAATACTTTGAATTTTATAAATACTTTATCATATTTTTTTTTTTTTTTTATAACAATCGATATATTTTTTATATTTTGAAAAATAAAATTGCAGGTCATATTTCACTTCGATTTAAACCTAATTTAAGAAAATTTCTTAAAAAAGAAAAAAATATAAACGAAAAATTTTAACAAAAATATCAAAAAATAAATGGAGATTAATTTTACAATTTAATTATTTGGATGTTAAAATTTTTCAATCAAATAATGAATTCGACTTAAGCTAATCATAAAATATTCCTGTTAGGTTGATTCCAATTATTTGAATAATTTATTAAAAAAAGTAATAAAAATAAAATGTTAATATGAAAATTATTTTATAATTTGTCAATGATTTTTAAGCAATGAACAGGGCCTCAATATTTCTTTTGAATTCGTGAGCTTGCAAAATGTGAGAAGTCTCTTGGGAAAATGAGGTGCCAGGCTAAAAAGTGGCCCTATTGTATATGACGAGGTACATGGCTGGGTGGTGTGGTGTTTTTTTTTCCTCCCCAATCAATGTGGGGCATCACAATCCATCTCCCTGTGGGGCCCAACGTCCTTACTGGCATACTGTATCATGTCTACCCCCTTTTAGGGAACAACGAGAAGGTAGGCACATCATTCGGTGTCTATCTCTAATACTATTTGTAACGCCTCAAATTCATCGCTAGTAGATATTTTCCTCTTTGGACCTTTTCTTTTAGGCTTCCCCTCAAGACTTTAAAACGCGTTTGCTAGGGGAAGATTTCCACACCCTTATAAATGGTGTTTTGTTCTCCTCCCCAACCAATGTGGGACATCACAATAAATGTTATGATAGAACGGAGTATGTTTGAAGACATAGATCATGAAACTAACTTGGGATGATTCTTTGACCATATTAAATTTAAATATACCCCAAACGTGTTTGATATGTCACATACGAGCCATTTCACTACTTCAAAGCATGCATTCACCTTGGGCATGCACCTTGTTTACTTCTGCTTCATGTTATGTTGAGAATAGGGCTTATATGTAAAGCTATAACTTATGTATCCTTGTTTCATTTATGTGTAGCATTGTTTTTCAGTTGAGATTTATTCCCTGAAGTAGTAATTAGTTATTTAATTTTTAATAATAATTTTGATTATTTTATTTACAATTTGATATTATTCATGGTATAAAAAATTCAAGAAATTGTAGTTTTAAGCGCGAACACTACAGCGGCCAACTCTAGGTCGTGGGTAGGGTAGTTCTTTTCATATTCCTTAAGTTGATGAGATGCGTATACGACAACCTTACCGTGTTGCATTAATACACATCTCAGTCCTTTCATAGAGGCATCACTATAGATCACATACCCTTCTGAGCTCTCGGGTACTATGAGTATCGGGGTGGTTACCAATCTCTCTTTTAGGTTCTGGAAGCTTGCTTCACAAGCATCATTCCATCTAAATGGTACCCCTTTTTTTATTAACTTTGTGGCAAGGATATTTTAGCGAAGTCCTGCACGAACCTTCGATAGTATCCCGCCAATCCTAGGAAACTCCTTACTTCCGTTACTGTAGTTGGGCGTTCCCACTTTGTGATCGCTTCGACCTTGGTGGGATCTACAGATATTCCGTCCTTTGACTCCACATGTCCTAGGAAAGAGACTTTTCGTAACCAAAATTCGCATTTGGAGAACTTGGTGTACAACTTGTGCTTTCTTAGGGTGGTTAGGACTTTTCAGAGGTGTTTCTCGTGTTCTAGGTCTGTTTTCGAGTATATAAGGATGTCGTCAATGAACACGATCACGAACTCGTAGTGACCGTACCTTGTCCTAAACGCTGTTTTTGGTACGTCTTTTTCATTAATCCTAATTTGGTGGAAACCGAATCCAAGATCTATCTTGGAGAATACAGTTGCCTCTCTGAGTTGATCAAACAAGTCTTCTATTCTAGGCAGAGGATATTTGTTTTTATGGTTCTCTTATTTAGCTCTCTATAATTGATGCACAGACGCATCGATCCATCTTTCTTCTTAACAAACAACACTGGCGCACCCCAGGGGGACACGCTAGGTCGAATGAATCCTTTATCTAGTAAGTCTTGCAATTGCCCCTTGAGTTCCTTCAACTTTGCTAGTGCCATGCAATAGGGTGCTTTGGAAATAGGCCCAGTTCCCACTCGACTTCGATGACGAAGTCGACCGCTCGGAAAGGGGGTATTCCAGGTAAGTTGTCCGAAAATACATCCGGGAACTCGTTTACTATTGACACGTTTACTAGGGTTTTCCTTTCCTCTTACGTCTACAACACATGCTAATACAGCTCATCCTCCTTGTTGGACTAACATCTTTGTTTTCATCATCAAGACTACCTTGGGGGTAATCCCGATACTTGTGCCTTTAAATTTAAAGGTAGGTCCTGTCGGTGGTGAAAATTTTACTTCCTTTAAATTTAAAGGTAGGTTCTGTCCGTCATGTTTACCACTATCAGGTCAACGCTTAAAGTTTGGTTCTCTATGATGACTTGGCCATCCTTTACTCTATCCCTAGATATTAAGTCTACCCTCACAGGGGTGCTTACAGACATTTCATGAAAAAAGG